TTGTAAATTAAATTGATTTTCAAGATATATCTTCCGATTAGAGTGTCGGAATGAAAGTCTCTAATTGTGTTATAAAAATGAATAATTGATATGATTGATCCAATCCAATTGAGGGAATTCCGACGCTTCATTACTTTGAATTATTGATTTTAATCTCACCTTTCAATATTAAATTTTATTACACATTTGAGAGAACAATTCAATCTTTTTTATCCTTTAAATATTCTTCCATCTCCCTATAGATACCACACCTCAAAGCTCTGCTACAATTACCGATTTATTCTTTGGGCGTAATCAATTTCTATATGTTTATTTCGCTCGTGAAAATGGGATCGGAGGCCAAGTGAATATTTGCTTGGTTATCACAGAATAAAAGTGTTGGAGATGATGCTTCTATTTGGAAATCCTTCAATAGTTGATGCAGCTATACCAGTTCAGAAGTTGTAGAAGCTAATGCTCTGTATTCTGCTTCTGCAGAGGAGCGAGATATGGTTGTTTGCTTCTTTGAATTCCATGATATGAGAGAGTCACCTAGGAATATGCAGAAACTAGTTACAGACTTCCTGGTGTCTGGACATGACCCCCAGTCAACATCAGAAAATGCGTTCAAGTGTGAAGATAATGATGAAGAAAAGAACAACCCCAATCCTGAATTAGACTTTATATAGCACATGAGATTATGCACAACTTTCAAATGAGGTGTGCGAGGTTGAACTAAAAACTGGCTAAGTATGTGGATAGCAAATGTGATGTCTAGCCGGATAAAGTAAAGTAAAGCAAGAGGCCAAGTATTCTTCTGTACTGAGAAATGTCAGCAAGGATTTTACCTTCATGTGCACTTAACTGAACTTTAGGATACATGGGAGCTAAAGTAGGCTTGCAGGCTAGATATCATGTGTCTTCAAAAAGCTGGAGAACATAGTGCCTCTGAGATAACATAATGCTTTTGTCTGATTGTGCAATTTCAAGCCCAATGAGATATTTAAGACATCCCAAATCCTTAAGCTTGAACCTTGTGTTAAGAAAGGCCTTTAAAGACTGTATTATTTCATTATTTGGACATGTAATTATTATGTCATCCACATAGACTAATAATGTTACAAAGGTACCACCCGATCCTTTAGTAAACAATGAATTATCAGCTTTGGACTGTACAAACCCAAATTGTATAAGGGCCTGAGAGAACTTCGAGTACCATTGTCTCGAGGCTTGCTTAAGGCTATATATCGATTTGTGAAGTTTACAAATCAGTTTCCCTTTCTCTGCTTGAGGTCCCTTGTTCACATTATAACCCAATGGGGGTCCATATATACCTCTTCAAATAGATCACCGTTAAGGAAGACACTATTTACATCAAGTTGTGCCAAATGCCATTTATTACTTGAAGCAAGTGCCAACAAAACCTTAACTGTAACAAAATGAAAAAGTCTCATTGTAGTCCAATCCTTCTTGTTACGTATACCCTTTAGCAACTAAGCATGCTTTGTGCCTTTCAATAGTACCATTTGATCTGTGTTTGACTTTGTAAATCCACCTACAACCAATGGAATATTTCCCGGTGGGCAATGGAATAACTGACCAAGTGTTGTTTGATTTCATAACATTTAAATCATCTGTCATAGTAGCTCTCTAATGTGGGAATTTCACAGCCTGATGATAATAGTGGGGTTCATATTGGGATGATACATTTAAGATGAAATTTCTGTGATTATGAGACAAAGATTCATATGACAGGTGTTTGGATATGGGGTATGTAGTTTTTTACGAAGAAGTTACAGACTTCGAATATTTTGACACAAGAGATTCCAATGGAATTCTCTCAGGTAGGAAGGATGTCATGGATTTCTAGATGATCTTTTTAGAGTAGTATTATGTGGGATGATATTAGAATGATCAGGAATTAAAGAATTTCCTGGAATGGATGATGATGGATTAGCTGAGATTTCATCATTATGATTGGGGGACACAGAATTAGTTAGATCAGAAGCTGAGGTTTCATCATCATTATGAGGAGTATCTTAGATATCAATTACTCTGATATGTTGATTAGAGGGCACAGAACGAGTGATTGATGAATTGTTAATGGAAGAACTTGGCAAGACAAGATCAGGGAAATGATCAATGAGCTGATTTGAAGAATTAACAGAATGAAATGGGAAGATCTCCTCATAAAACATGACATCTCTGGATATGATTATCTGTTTGGATTTGATATCATATAGTCTATAGCCTTTCATTCCTGGTGGATAACCAAGGAACACACACACACTCTAGACCTGGCTGAAATTTAGTTCTATGTGCATGAAGGGTTGAAGCAAATGCCAAACACCCAAAGACTTTGAAGTTAGAATAGTCTGTTGGATGTTTATGCAGAATTTCATAAGGGTTTTTATGTTTGAGTAAAGTAGAGGGTGTTCTTTTGATCAGATAGGCTACAGTCAAGATGCATTCACTCTAGAACTGAATTGGAACTCTAGATTGGAATAAAAGTGCTCTAGCAACATTGAAGAGGTGCAAATGTTTCCTCTCTACCACTGAATTTTGTTGTGTGTCTCAACGCATGAAAACAGATGCATCACACCTCTATCATTAAAGAATTCAGTAAAACTCAACTCTGGGGCATTATCAGACCTAAAGACTTTTATATTTTTGTTGAATTGAGTAGAAATTATGTTAAAGAATTTAGGAATCACAATGCAAACATCAGACTTTTTCTTCAACATATAAATCCATGTAAATCGAGAGCAATCATCCACCAATGTGAGAAAATAATTGTGGCCATTATGAGATGAAACATGGTAAGGACCCAACACATCACAGTGCACCAAGTCAAATGATTATGAGGATCAAAAGACAAACGTCTTTGTTTTGCAAGAGGGCAAATATAACAAGTTTCAGCTTTATTCAATTTCGATACACCACAGTTCAAATGGTATTTCAAAGCATCCAAACATCTAGAAGATAGATAACCAAGCCTGTTATGCCATATATGAGCTGAAATGTTATTTACATATGTTGTAGAAACAGAATTCAAATTGCCTTTATCTAAAACATAAAGTTCTTCAACCTTATTACCATTGCCAATCATCTTGGTGCTATGTTCCTGAATGGTGAAGCAAGTAAGAAGAAAGTTGATTATGAGAATTGATTCAGAGGTGAGTGCACTGACAGATATCAAGTTAAACTTGAATTGAGGAACATATAGAGCATCCTTGAGTAAAGTTTAGAATTCAATCTTATATCACCACAGAAGTTCACAGGAATTTGATTGTGATTTGGCATTGTAACTTTGAAATTTTGAATAGGCTTCATTGATAGGAAAGCATCAGCATATGAGCAAATATGTCTTGTTGCACCATAATCAACTATCTAATATTGGTTAGACGAAAAGACAGGATTCAATGAAATGGAGAAGCAGATACCTGTAGTGTAGGAAATGGATGGATCATCAGTAGTTTTAATAGAATTAGTCAGATGGTTGGACAACATAGACATGAGTTGCTGATATTGACTGGAGTTGAGATTTTGAACAAAATTCCCAATGTTAGTTTGTTGTTTAATTTAGTTTGACACCTGATTTACCACAGCCTTGTTGCTATTGTAAGCTGAACTATCCTTGTTCCTCACTTGGTAACCAGGAAGGTAGCCATGAATTTTGCTATAGCTTTTTCGCTTAGTGAAAAAAAATGGCAACCTACCCCTAACAAGTCAGTTTTGTTAAGTTAAGTTATGCCAAA